TTTTTATACTGAAAATGTATTTCCGTATAGGTACTTCTCACAAGTATTACCTATTCTTGTTTAGTGCTGCCCTCTATATGTCAATTTTTTTCTTTACACATGCCATAAGCCTTCTGCTCCCCACTACTGGAATCAAATGATTCCAACATGTCTCACATAAATTATCATGCATCACTTCTCCACCAATAGGAGCATGACATACTCATGTGATGCATGTGACCCCCTCTATAAGCCTCTACCAAACTATCACTTTGAGGTTAGGCAGAGGATGTAAGCACTGGAGGAAAGGTGGGAAGTATGAGAAGAGGGAAGTACCTATCGGAAATACATTTTCAGTATAGGAAAATTATAATAAGTACTTCCCTCTTCTCACAAGATTACCTAGAATCCCACACTGATTAGGTGGTGTAACCAGTGCGAGAGAATGACAGAAGTACCCCCTGAAAGCATCCGAAGGATACCCCTTGAAATGAAAGAGGGGAACTGCACCAATTGTGAACCAGGTATACTCTCCACCCAGTCATGAAATGTGCAGTAGATAAGGACAGAAAAAAATTGGTTGATTGTTTGTTTGGTGTTTTATGGCACAAAGCAACTAGGCTATCTGTGCCAAACAATCAGTAAAAACAGTAAAAGTAAATTGTAGTAAAATGTAAAAATAAAGTGAGTTAAAACCAAAATATATCCTAAAAACAGATAAAAGAATTAAATAAAATTAAAAAGACCAACTGTTCTTAAAAAATTGAAAATACAATCAAGCTGGACAATGTCACCATCATCAATGACACTGTCCAACATCAGGGGTAAACCCTTACAAAACACGTGTCTAAAATGGTGCCGCCATTCATGGTCGTAACGCCAGCACGACAGTAAAATGTGGGCTATTGTGACTTGAGTGTCACAAAGACTACACATTGGTGGGTCAATACCAGATAAAAGAAAACAATGTGTTAAAAAACTGTGACCAACGCGTAGCCTTGCCAAAACAACTTCCTCTTTCTGATCCTTATGGAAGCAAGATGGCCAAAGTGCAACAGACAATTTGATCTAGAAAAGCTTGTTATGACGTTGCTAACCCCAAGTCAACTGCCAACTGGCGCGAAGCTGCACCTTGAATACAGGACCATAGTCTATGTATGGGATAGGCATGGCTGCGACGGTGGAAGAGCAGACGGACTTAGCTGAAGTGTCAGTGAGCTCGTTCCCACGAATACCAACGTGGCCAGGTATCCAGAAAAACTGGATGGAAATGGAAGATAGAGAAAAATGGGCCAATCGGTGTTGAATATCAATGAGAACAGGGTGAGAACTAATGTTAAGCAATTCCAGGGCCAGTAGAGAGCTAAGAGAATCAGAGGTAAATAGTACAATCGCTGTACTGCATAGCTTCTACATGATCCAGGGCAAGAGAAATAGCATACAATTTGGCAGTGAATACAAAAACTGTAGAGAGGATCCTGCAAGCC